GTATCAACTTTGTGGACACTTCTTACTACTATTCTTCATCTTTGAGCATTGGACAGGTGTTTGCATCTCTTTATTACTGCATACTCCTTCAGTTCCAGTTATTAGGGGCTGTTCTCCTTATCAACAAAACATTCTTATTTTTTAAAAATTCATCTAAAATCAATTTCTGAAAATATTTTTATGAAAGTTTCACGACATTGAAGTCAATAAGTTGGAGATTTGTTTAAAAATTTTAAGTTATTTTTACATAATTTGAATATTTTTCACTACCGGGCCCCCAATACTGTCTCCACTCGATTATCTGGATTGTATGGGAAGGACCCCCAGCCGGATAATCATGTGTTCCGGATAATAGTACTTTTTCACCTCTGAGTCCAAAAGGGAACATTTCCAACAATTTTTATACCACACTCACGATTTGAATTGACACACACTAATTAGTGTGTGGGGCTGGGTGGGTGATTAGCTACCTAGCTGGTAGGTGGGCAGGGAAAGTGGGTGGGCCGGCAGGTGGGTTTTGGATGAGTGGATGGCGGGCTTGGTGGGTGAACAGGTTCGAGCAGGCAAGTGGGTGAGCAGGCAGGTGGGTGGGCAAGCAGGCAGGTGGGTGAACAGGTGGGTGGGTGGATTGGCAGGTAGGTGAGTAAACAGGTGGGTGGGCAGGGAAGTGGGTGAACAGGTGGGTGGGTGGGGTGAGCAGGAAGGTGGGTGTGCAGGAAGGTGGGTGAACAGGTGGTTGGGTGGGTGAACAGGTGGTTGGGTGAGCAAGCATTCAGGTGGGTGGGTGGGCAAGCAGGCAGATGGGTGAACAGGTGGCTGGGTGGGCTATTAGGCAGGTGGGTGAACAGGTGGGTGGGTGGATTGGCAGGTGGGTAAACAAGTGGGTGAACAGGTGGGTGAGTTGGCGAGACTGGAAAAGAGACAGATGACACGTGTGATCTCCTGCCTGGTCACCCCCCCCTCCCCCACTCCCCACCAGCCTTCCCAACTCCCCTTCACATGTGTCGACAAATGGGTGTTGACAAGCTGTACGATGACTTTAACATATGCGTCTTAAGTTCTGTTAAATCCCATTGTATTTTATTGTAAATATTGAAATGAATAAATATCAAACCAAATACTCTACTGTACTGTTCAATTATTATAGTGTGTTATTTAATTAATATTCATAACTAGCTCTCCACAGCAATAAGAAAACAGTGTAATTCTTGCAACACCACCAATGCCACCTTCCTTCGTTAGGCTAACGCAATTCACATACACGCACAACAGTTCTCCCTTCTTTCCTGTCAACTCACTCCCTCCATCCCTCCCTTCCTCCCTGACCAACTCCCTCCCTCCCTGACCATCTCCCTCCCTCCCTGACCATCTCCCTCCCTCCCTGACCATCTCCCTCCCTCCCTGAACAACTCCCTTCCTCCCTGAACAACTCCCTTCCTCCCTGACCATCCCTTCCTCCCTGACCATCCCTCCCTCCCTGACCAAGTCCCTCCCTCCCTGACCAAGTCCCTCCTTCCCTGACCAACTCCCTCCCCCCTGACCAACTCCCTTCCTCCCTGACCAACTCCCTCCCTCCCTGACCAACTCCCTCCCTCCCTGACCAACTCCCTCCCTCCCTGACCAACTCCCTCCCTCCCTGACCAACTCCCTCCCTCCCTGACCAACTCCCTACCTCCCTGACCAACTCCCTCCCTCCCAGACCAACTCCCCCCCCTCCCTGACCAACTCCCTCCCTCCCTGACCAACTCCCTCCCTCCCTGACCAACTCCCTCCCTCCCTGACCAACTCCCTCCCCCCTGACCAACTCCCTTCCTCCCTGACCAACTCCCTCCCTCCCTGACCAACTCCCTCCCTCCCTGACCAATTCCCTCCCTCCCTGACCAACTCCCTCCCTCCCTGACCAACTCCCTTCCTCCCTGACCACCTCCCTCCCTCCCTGACCAAGTCCCTCCTTCCCTTCCTGACCAACTCCCTCCCTCCCTGACCAACTCCCTTCCTTCCTTCCTGACCAACTTCCTTCCTTCCTGACCAACTCCCTTCCTCCCTGACCACCTCCCTCCCTCCCTGACCAAGTCCCTCCTTCCCTTCCTGACCATTATCCCCCAGGTGGTCCCTCCCAAAGCTCCCCTCTCTCCCGACACCACCCACCCTACCCCCTCCTACACCATATGGCTAAACGGCCGCAAGTTAACCGGCTCCAATTTTTTATCCGGCACCCATGGACATTTTGGCCGGATATTGAGAACTTTATCCGGTCACGATTTTGGCTGTATAAGGGAGTTTTCCGGATATTCGAATCCCGGATAATCGAGTGTCTACAGTATGAATGGTAATATGCGTAGTCTATGAGTTAAGAAGGTAATTTCTAGCAAGATTAAAGAAATGTTTACAGGTACATTATAAGTATAAAAATACATTGTATAAGAAATTTGACAAAAAAAAAAGCGTTGAATGTAATGAAACGCCTCGACGGAAAGACGGCCCAGGCCGGCCAGGGACCTGGCCAGGGCCGATCCCTGGCCGGCCTGGTGAGCACTGGTCACAAAGCCCCAACCAAGAGACGATGCATCCGTGAACACATCGAGCGAGGGCTCAGGTAGGTGCCACGTCAATGAACCCCGAAAAATCTGAAAGAGGAAGCTGGCAACACAGCAGCTGATGCAAGGCCCCGGGGTCCAAACCCAGCGATCACGAGAATGGAGTTAGAGACATCCCCGAAGGAACCAGAACAGCCGACGAAGCCAAACCCGACCCGGCGGGTAGACCAGCATCGCGAAGTTCAGGCTCCCTCACAGACCCTCGAGCAACCACCGGGTGACCCGGGAACCCCCCAGAAACAGGCACATGCGGGACCACAGCCGCAGGAGACACTCCGGAGGAAGAGACAAGGAAGCGGTCCGAGAGTCCAACACAAGGCCCAGCCATGTTCAAACCTGGGAGGGAACCAGATGGGACTTCCTCCAGTTCACCAAGAACCCGAACCCGGCAAGCTGAGAAAGAACCAAATTCCTGGCTAGCAGACAAGAGGACCGGCTGGGAGCCTAAACCAGCCCAAAACTACCAACAAACTGTCTACAGCTGAACCCCAGGAATGTGTATGCTCATAGGGACCTAGCAGGGGGGCACCACCACCAAAGTATCAGGATGAGGCCAAACACCAGTGGCAAGTAGAGCAGAACCCCCTTACCAAGGCAAAAACAAAAAGGAAAACAAAACCCCGCAAGAGGACAACGTACCCCAAGGAACAGAGCCGGCCGCTGTGATTGGTGACAACAAGCTGTACCGCACCCAGCACCCCTTACCAATGCAAAACTGCCTCCTACCCTAAGGTAAACAAGGGAGACAAAACACCCAAGTACCCAAAGGGCGGCCAAAAAACTGTGCAGTTAAACAGACCCACAGAGGCAGGTCCCAAGGAACCTGTGGAAGGTAACTCCAAGCTCCAAAGGCAGTACTTACAGGGCACCTAAGGAAGAGAACCCTAGGCGCATGCAGCCCAAGTACTGAAGAGTAACTCCTAGATCTCGCACCCCTGGAGAACAGCCGCCACACACAAGGCACAGCGCCGTAAAAGTTTGGAGACAGAGCACACAACCACTGCCTATAGCATCAGCCTCAAGAACTGGGGTGTGGATCGCCGGCGCGGTGAGTCTGGGGGCTCCCCCTTCCCCCTACCGGGGAGGGGAGGAGCTGTGCAGATGGCGGCATGGCAATAGGTGATGTCACACTAGTTCGCTATTTTTTGTTTGGGGAGTTCTATCCACTTGTTCGGCTTTTGGTATTTTCACCAGAATAGGGGTTTGTTTTGGGATGCTTACCTTTCTGGGTGCCTGACCCGGTCAATGGCAAACATAGAATGCTTCCAACCACACAGGAGCTTCTATAGGCCATTGCTACCCTTGCCTCTCTGAGGGGGGCCAGGTTCTTGCCGTGGTCCCCGGTAGGCTTAAAGGAACTCCATACACATGACTGATGCCAAAGTTTGACATTAGCATATCAGCCTAGATAGCTCCGGGGAGCTGTAGGGGCTCCCCCCAGAAAAGTAGGTACACTAAAGTAAATGTAAGGGTTATCCACAGGTACATTTTAGCATAATTTGAGGATTATTGCAAGATATAATGTATCAAACTATGTGTATACATGATGTATGTAGCAAATGTATTAAAATTGCTACAAACTATTTGCCACAAACTACAAACTATAATGTAGCAAACTATGTGCATAACATGATATAAGATAACAGCAATAATTACAATGGTAAAGTTGTATTGCATAGGTACATATATTGGAGAAATGGATAGCAATAGATACAGTGCGAGTTTCAAGCACTAGGTAGGAAACTATGAAGATGAAATTAGGAACTCTTTGGTTTTATTTTTGAATAAACCAAAAGTTTGACAGCATTTCAATTCGTTAGGGAGTAAGTTCTATAGACCAGGTCCCTTTATTTGCATAGAGTGTTTACACAGATTAAGTTTGACTCTGGGGAATATCAAAGATATATTTATTTCTGGTGTGGTGATTATGTATTCTATTACATTTGTCCAAGAAGAGTTTCAGAACAGGGTTTGCAATTAAGAACAGGGTTTTGTAAATGTAATTGACACAAGAGAATGTGTGGAGTAAGGTTATGTTTAGCATTTTTAGGGATTTAAACAGGGGGGGCTGAGTGTTGTCTGAAAGCAGAGTTTGTTATTGTTCTGATAGCAGAAATGATCAATGAAACTGCTTCCTTAATGGAATCCAACTAACTCATCACTGACACTGTGCTCTTCCAGTTGTTACTCTGCCACGCATTTTGCCCATTACGCTTCACCTATTATTTTAAATAACCTCCATTTTTCGCAAACTGTACTTCATCCTCTTCTACTAATAATTTTCCTGTAATCAACAATAGTCTAATTTTTAACACATGAAATTTAGAGTAAAATTCTACCATTAAATTAAATGCTCTTGATAAGGAATATGGAAATGTTAAGCTCAGATATCCAGATAATTACCTCTGCCTGTTTGTGGATGTACTTTGCATCCCTGTTCTCACCCCAGAGTGCACATCCGTCTGTTACCATTGCCATGTATCCTTGGTTGCTTGCAAATGATTTAACCATCCACTGGGTGCCCATGCTTGATAATGCTCTCCATTCAGATTCCTCTACTGGTCTCCATATTTCTAAAGATGCCATTCTATAAAAATGAAAAGGAAAAGTTCAGTATTTGAGACATATCTGATATCTTACAGCATATTTTATAGATGTGATGAAAAAAATAAGGCTCTGAGTGTGGGTGAATAGCACCTTTCTAAGCAGGTTTCTCAGTTGTTTTCTTAGGCAATGTTCTGTTGTTTGCAAGAAAAGGACCAGACACAGCCAGGACAGTGAATATTTACATCCCAGCTCGGTGGGGGATCTCTTTAAATGTCCTTGAAAAGTCAGACTAATGCAAGGGAGATATTGGGAAAATGTACTATCAAGCACAGGATGATTTCCAGAAAGCCATTAACAGTCAGAACTCCATCCATGCACTACTGGGGATCTATGACAGATTGGCAGTTTCTTAGAAAGATTTGTACATGCTTTCCTGTAGCTGCTGTGTAGTACGGAGCAATACTGTATTGATTTCCCTTATCCCAGGCCTACCCCCAACCAACAGAAGACAACACCCCAGCCCAACCCAACTGCCTCAAAGACCTAGAACGAAAGCACCAAACACAAAGGATTTTTGGATTATGATTTTTTAAAGGATTACAAAACTAATTGGTCAACAAGCCACAGCCACTGATGACTGAAATGGGGCTACATTGAGGAAAGAGGAATGTGGAAAAAGGAGAGGTGGACAGGAGTACAAGGCCCTTGCCAAATCAAGAGACTGGGCCAACACAGCCTGCCAACACATGAGTCAGATGGTGAAGAACATGGTTGCAGCATCTTGGAGCACAGGAGCATACAGCTTGGGAGGTGCAACGAAAGCCACCAAGCAGACTAAAACCGCCCACACCCCACCCCTCTCCCCCCAGTGCCTCAACGGCTTTGGGTAGCATGTAGTGGCTTTGGGTAAATCTACGAACCTCCCTGTAGTGACTATGGGCGACTCTATGGACCACCCAGTAGAGACTTTGGGTAATTTGGGTAACATATTAACTCTGGATGGTAGCAAAATGATTGTGGGAAGATGCTACAGGGCTGCTACAGCAGCAGCAGAGGAAATTGCGGATCTGCATAATGTGATTACTGTGGCATCTGAAACCCAAACCCTAATAATAGGGGGGAACTTTAACAACAAGAGTGGATCAACCTAACATCACAAGCAGAAGGTGAACAATTTCTCGAGCTTGTGCAGGACTCCTTTCTCATACAGCATGTGGTAGAGCCCACATGTGGTAACAGTATACTTGTGCTAACAACAGAAGAGGGTATGATTGATCAAATTCATGTGGGGGGGAAAAGCTAACCCCCTCGTGCGACCACCATATTTTAAGATGGACTACTAATATAGAAACCTACATTAAGGGCAAAGATGATGAATTTCTTGATTACCAGCAAGGTGACTCAATGACTGAGAGAAGAACTGAAAACCATCTCTTGGAGGGAGCTGATAGGCGAACATGGCACAGAAGCATCATGGCAAAATTTGAAGATGGTCATCACGGAACTCTTTCAAAAATATGTGCCGAAAGGAAGAAAGACAAGAAAGGGAACTAGATGGATGATACAGGTCATAAGACGAGCATTGGTAACAAAGAGGAACCTCTGGAGAATGTATAAATCCACGATGGACATCATTGATTATGAGTTATACAAAAGGGCACTAAACTCACCTACTCAGAAAATCAGATCAGCCAAATGAAACTACAAAAGAAAAATTACCGAAAACATAAAGAAAGATCCAAAATCGTTCCATGCCTATATAAGATGTAAAACCAAAACAAAGAACTCAATTGGACCCTTATCCCTTAATAGATCATACTAATCAAGCTATAATGGATGATAAGTGGACAGCAAACACTCTAATGATTATTTTACATCAGTGTTCACACTCGAAACGTTGGATGACATCCCATCACACACACAAATGTTTGAAGGAGGGGTGTAAAATGAATTTAGGGATATACACATAACATGCAAAATAATTAGAAAGAACATTGACAAACTAAAAGACTCAAAAGCCTCAGGTGTGGTTGGAATACAATCCTAAGTCTTAAAGGAACTGGCAGAAGAACTATGCCTACTACCGAAACTACTTTTCAGAAAATATCTGGACCATGGGGTAGTCCCTCTAGATTGGAAATATGAAACTGTTGCTCCTATTTTATAAAAAACCAGCTTTGAATGTAATGAAATGCCATTTTCTGGGTGAGCCCCAGAGGCACCCTGGAGCTTATCAGGCTAATGTATGTTATATTAGACAGGGACATTAGCTAAGGAGTTCAGACGTACCAGGGACCAGCGCCAGAACCTGGCCCCTTTAGAGAGGTTTCAGAGAGCAATGTCCCTGGAAAACCCCTTGTGGTTGGGGTTTTCCTTATCTGCCATCGACCGGGGTTAGGCACCCAGAAAGGTAGGCATAACAAAACGAACCCCACATGGTAAAAAACTAAAACAAAAAAACAAACAGAGAGGTAGAAACTTCCTACAATCCCAAGGAAACAAGCAAACACGCAAACATCACATTTTACTGCCGCGCCGATCGTCCGTGCAGCCCTCCCCGCCCCGAGAGGGGGGAGCACCGAACCTCACCGCGCCAGCTGCCTAGCATCAGTTTGGAAGCTAAGCTTCAACCAACACGAAAAACCGCCGACCGGTGGGAGGGAGGGTTGCCAGGGAGCCTCCGGGGCTCACCCAGAAAATGGCGTTTCATTACATTAAACACTGGTTTTCTGTGGGGAGCCCCTACAGCACCCTGGAGCTTCATACCCTAAGAGAAGGAAAAGAAAGGGCTGACCTGGGAGGCGGCCGCCACAAACTCCGCAACGCGAAGCCGAGACAACAGGCTGCAACCTGCGACCCAAGGCAACAAGAACGCACAGGAGCAGACACGCGCATAAAGAATTGGTGGCCTGTGCGACCCTCAAATCCCTGCGCCCGAAATGAACCCCAGACATCACCAACACAGCAGCGAAAGCTGCAAATGTCCAAAGAGCACGGGTGCAAGAACAGACCGCAGGCTGGAAGACTTAAAAACTCTGCGAATGACCTGGGAGACCCGAGCCCTGAAACAGGGAACGAGGAGAACCGGATCAACCCATAGCGCATCCCCAGACACGGTACGCAGGTAACGGCAAAAAAGTGCAACTGGACAACACAGGATGCACCCCCGGCCGAACCAATCAAGCACCAATAACCCTAATAACCAATCAAGCACCAATAATCAACAAGCCACAATGTAGGACTGAGAACAGGAGATACTTTTTCACTCACAGGGTTATTAACCCAAGGAAGCCGTAACTGCCCAAACAGAGCTGAGTTCCAAAAATATACCTGGAAAAGATCATCAAGGCAAATGGGGAACCTTGGATAAGCCGCCGGCTTCCTGTCTTCATCGAGGCCACTAGGGTTGGTCCGTCTAATTACCCAAGGCTACCCAAATCTACTCAAAGCTACCCAAATCTTCCTAGTATTATGTAAGTAATGAAGAAATATGATATATTTACTCACTACAATGTTGGTGCTGAAGGTAGAACATGAAAAAAACATATTTTTACTCTGAAATAATAGAAGTTTATAACAAAATTAGATGAAACTAAGTGGCATGAAAGGCCATAGGAAGCTGACAATCCAAATGAGAATGTTGTGGAGCGACTTATCCAAGATATATTGTTGCCTACAGGTTATATTAAGTTAGGTTTGGATAGGTTAAGTTAGGTTTTGTTACTATAGGTTTGGGTAGGTTGGTTAGGTTAGGTCGATACAGAAGGCCGATATGCCAACAAACAGTCTCCAAGCAACAATGTGTCTTAGATAAGTCGCTCCACAACATCGTCACTTGGACTGTGGTCTTGTTTTGGAATCACCAGCAGCTTATTTTCGTCTAAGCTTTGGGTAGCTTGTTGAGTAGCTTTGAGTAATTAGACGGACCCCCCACCATCGGTCCATAGAATTACCCAAATCGACCCAAATCAGCCCAAAACTACCCAAATCGTCTTAGCATTACGTAAGTAATGAAGAAATATGGTATATTTACTTACTATAATGTTGGTGCTACACATAGAACATGATCAAACCTATTTTTACTCTGAAATAATCTAATTTCATAACGAAATTAGACGTAAATATGTGAGAGGTGACGCCATAGGAAGTCGACGGTCCAAGCGACAATTGTGTGGAGCGACTTATCCAAGATATATGGTCGCCAGGAGAGTGTTTGCTGCCATATCAGCCTCCTGTACACAGTGATCCAGTCCTTTTCGTTCATTGAACACCGAACCCTACACGCCCTCTGATATATTGCTTAATTAAGAAATATTCACAAATAAAGATTATATTTGTATATGTTATCAGAAAGGCAGATATAAAATAGTTTTTGTGAATCCATCACAGAGATTATACCTTATTAGAGAGGAAAAATATTCATACTTTAAACAAGGCTTCATGGCCGACGCTCTCCTTACCGATATGGGAACTATGACCTTCCGAAGATCAATGTTAATTTAATCTAGATATTGTAATAAACGAAGTTTTCTATGTCATCATAAAGACATAAATATAAGCTGCATGTTAATAATTTGGCATAAATATAACTGAATTGAAAGTTAAGATATATGCCTTTTTATAGTTACTTGATGGCTCGCTCAGGGAGTGTGAAGGCCTCCACACAAGCCAATCAATTTTATAATTACTTTGCATATATGCAAAGTAACGCCATAGGTCTTTATGTCAGAATAAAGCCATGTAGACGATAATGTAACTACATTTCAAGGAAAACATGTCTTAATATAATTATTAAATGAATGCAAAGTTATGGTTAAATAAATAGCCAATACCACACAATCGCCGGTGTTCGGACACATGAATAGTCGCATTAGGTGAAAGGAAATGTACCCAACCATTTCCATTTACCCAACCAGTTTGTGCACCCTATACTCATCCTCTGTGCGGTAATTTATTGTGCACCACATACTCATCTTGTTACCAGTAGTTTGTGCAACCCATACTCATCCTGTGACCCGTAATTTATTGTGCATCCCATACTCATCCTGTTACCGGTAGTTTGTGCAGCCCATACCCATCCTGTGACCTGTAATTTATTGTGCAACCCATACTTATCCTGTGACCTGTAGTTTATTGTGCAGCTAATACTCATTCTGTGAGTCATAGGACATTGCGCAACCCTTTCTCATCGTGTGAATCTTTGTTTACTTTGCTCTCCATATTCATCCTCTGCGCGATAGTTTCTTGTGCAACCCATACCCATGATGTGAGTGGTAGTTTATTGTGTACCCTATATTCATCCTGTGAGTATAGGGTACACAATTCTTGTTTGGATTCTTGTAATGTTATTTGTCTATTTGTAGTCACAGTATTTGTGCACCCCTTGAGGGACTTGAATTAGAGGGGGGTTGAAATAGCCTAAGCTACTCTATCCCTTTGAGATGTATTTATTGCTTATCTCAATAAACACACTTGAACTTGAACTTGGGTACACAATGAGTTCATTTGTACTCCATACTCATCATCAAGAAGTGTATTTTACCAGCATTGTAATATAAATTAAGAATAAAAGCTTAGCTGGATTACGGACCCATAATCAAAATAAGAGTCATCACTAATTATCATGACAAATAGTCTAGGCTACACTTCCGCCTTCGACAAGCTGCCGCCGGATGTGGGTATAGTTTATTGTACACCCCCGCACCCCCAGTCCTGGAAGGGCGGGCATTGGGATGTGGACATGTGTACCATTATACCCCCCCCCCCCCCCCCCCCCCCCCACACACACACACTCCTCTCCTGTTAATAATAATACTAATAATAATAAAAATTCAAAATAATAACGTTAATAAATATTATAATTAAAACACTTACTGTAATACCCTAGTGCTTGAATGAAAGTGAAGGAAAGACCCAATAAATGTGTAAGTGTATTAAAAACCAAATTTTCGTTGGGTGAGCTGGCAGGTGAGCACCACCTGCCAGCTCACCCAGTAATGAACATCACCTGCCAGCTCACCCAGTAATGAACATCACCTGCCAGCTCACCCAGTAATGAACATCACCTGCACACTGCACCGAACCACTTGCCAGCAGGTGCAGAAGTACGATGGAAAGAGCAAAGTATACAATATTTCAAGTATAATATTAAAGATATATTTAGCATTTAATGTTTTCCTATAAAGTTTCAATAATACCTTTATTTGATTTTTTGTATTATTTTCTACCACAGACGTGGCCACACATTAACAATGCTAACCAGCATATATACATTTTCTTCAGTCCGCCATGGACTCTAACCCTTTCCACTACCGCCCACAAGATGGGTATAGGGTGCATAATATAAGAACTAAACTAACTAACTCCATTGATAGGGTTAGAGATTTGTTAAACATATAGGTCAGGGATTTATTGAACAATTAACCACATAAGGTGATTGTAGTGTTTTTAAAATGCTAGGCTAAGCTACATACGTAAATACATAAATACACAGATTTACGTATGCCCTACATAAAGTGTTCGATGTGTCTTTTACATAGTGTCATTAACGTGCATTTACAAAGGTGAAATTGAATTCTGACCAGCTTCCACATATACTTTATACACATACATATACACACACAGACGTATGCGTACATATACATATATATATACATACATATATACACACATACATACACATATATTTGTCTCTTTTACTCTGACAAGGTGAGATAACTGATAGAGAAACTAGTGTGCAATTAAGCACTTAATCACTGAAGGTGATTAAGGTGCTTTCACAAGCTCAGGTTATAGAGTTACATCACATACATTCATTGTATAATTGATACGTTACATGGTCAATCTAGGGTACAAGTTCAATATATCATCAAGTGTTCCAGTACTCAAATAGTAATTACACAGTTCAGCATACCTTAGCCCAGGAGGGCGAAAGTCAGTCAGTATGGGACATTCTACAATATAATGTTCAAGGGAGTGCATATTTTCTCTTTTACAAAGTTGACACATTGTGTACTCGACATTTGGGTTTTGAGAAAGCTGCCAGATACGTCTATATCCCAAGCGTATTATGGCCACTATAACATCACATTGGGTTCTTGTTCCATTAATCCTGTATGTGAATGTCTCCGCACGATATCTATCATAATATTTAATGCTACAATTTTCAGGTCTTTGTGAATTTGTTAGGTCGGTGAGATTTTCATTAGATGTTTGCTTAAGTATTCTCTTTGTCACTGCTAATGAAACACCCATATAAATTTCTACCACTGGTTTTCTACAGGCTGTCTTTGCAAGCATATCAACAGTGTCATGCCTTGAGATGCCAACATGTGATGGTATCCATAGGAATTTAATTTCAAATCTCTTTTCTTTGGCAGCTAAAATATTCATTCGAATATCACTGACTATTTTCTGGGTGTCACTACTATGTGCGTTCAATACCAGGAGTGCACTCTGCGAATCACAGTATATAAGTCGACTGCCTTTGTGTTTTAAAAATTCAGTGGCAAGGTATATGAATGCAAGTTCGGTTTGAGTTGTACTTGCCCAATCATTGACGCGCTTCATTCATGTATGTACGAGAGAAGATTGTTCAAATATATTACATGCACATCCGGTACATCATCCACCTTCTTCTACAGAACCGTCGGTATAGCACTGATACACATCGTTACCCATACTCTGAGTACTTTCAGTGATGCTTCACAGTGTTAACTGTTTTAATAATGTAGAGTGTACATTATCTTTCTTGGGTGCATTTACAAAATCAACTGCTAGATCCAAGTTATCCCATGGAGTAATTGGTTGATTAATCGTTAATTGAGTTGGGTACATATTTAATATTTTGATGGAGTTGGCTACCTTGTAGAACCAAAATGCATTCACGCCGAAAACTGTGCTAATAGACAAAATTATGTTAGAGATATGGGTCTATAATTATCTGAGTGTGCTTTGGGGATGGGAACAATGACACTGTCCAATCATCAGGTAATACTCCTTCACTTAAACTCATTCTGTACAACACTAAAAGTGGATTACCTGGTACTTGTGAGACTAATCTCAGTAAACTGTAAGTAATACCGTCCTCTTCAGGAGCAGTAGACTTATTTTATTGTGCTACACAGCCTTCCCGGCTTGGTGCCTTCTTTGGTAATTACTTATCAAAGGCAGCTCCATACGAGGAGCTGCCTCGTATGGGCCAATAAGTCTTTTGCAGTTACCTTCATTCTTATGTTCTTACTTACATTTATTGAACTTTATCATCATCATCATTTACAGAAATAAATTAACATAAAAAGTAGTCATTTTAATACACAAAACAGAAGTAGATATTATGTAAATTATGATGCAGGATAGGATCACTATTAAGAACTTAATTATAAACCACAATATGTTTAATATCGTCAGAAATTCGGAAACATACCATATATTTTCAAATATTTACAATTAAAGTATTTATTTAGGAAATAAGTATTTTAGTTACCCTAGTTAGCTCTGAGAACACACATTCATGCAGCAAGAATTTCTTCCCACTAATCTGAGAGATGCTAATGAGACCAGTCTCGACCCACTGGACAGGTCATGAACAACAATCAACTACAGCACCATCTATGTCAGAAGATATTCAAAATATTCTTGATATCATTCAAATTGTCAATACGAGAACAGAATACATAAGTTGAGTGATGTCAAAGGAATCATATTGACTGACCGAGCCCCATTGTAAATATCCGTGGCTTCCTGACCATAAAGGTACCGACGCGGTCGAGGGTAAGAGACCGGATGTACCCATATACCTATGAGGCCATCAAAAATAGTGAGTCACGCCAAACAAAAAGAAGTACTGGTAAACAGGTCAGACACAACCAGTACTATGATGATGCTAAACTGAAAGAGCTTAAATCAATTGCTAGACAGACAGGTAAAGCATAT